CTGTCTTATGACCGTTTGACTTCTAACTGTTTTTCAGCGTCAGTTGACAGCTTTAAAGACAGATATATAGTATATCGACATACAGGTTTCATTTTTTTTTTGTCGGAAAAATGTGAGTGACATTGGTAACGACAAGAAATCAAGACGATCTTTGTCGTCGATAGTGAAAGAGGGTAGACATATATACAAAATAATGTCACATCAAAAGTTGATAATTAGTCGTTTTATCACCATCATCAACCCATTTGAAGGTCCCACTGTTGGACACGGGTCTCCTTTCAAACGAGGGTTAGCGGGTTGGCGATTAGTCGTTTAAAAAAAATATTTGTTTTTATTGTTGTTAGAAAATATTTATAAACGATAATATCATCCGTTTAAAGGTAAAACCGCATAAGTGACATTTTCCACAAAATATCTCCAAATTATGTACGTGTTGTAAGAAAATCATCATCTTTATACTTTATATATCTGCAGATAAAACCGTTATTGAATTTATAGCTTTTTTTGTTATTGACCTTCACCTGCAGAAAGGTAGTAATTTTCTTACCATCTATATAAGTTAAAGACTTTTTGTGAGAAATGTCACCTACGTGGGTTTATCTTTAAACAGACGATATATAAACGACGAAATGTTTAATACCCGATTGAAACTCCTTTTAATGGATAATGAATTCTACAGTGTCGATGAGTTTCTTTTAAAACAATTATATTTTTCACCTCAGCAGCTCGAACAAGGCTATTTTGCTGTGTGAAATCAGTGAGCAAAATCTTATTTTGCTCACTCCGTGAGAAAAAGTAGCTTTTTGCTTTTTAAGTGGAGACTTGTCATTTAATGCGAAGGGGTCTAATACAAATTCGACATATTTCAAAATCAGTCGCTCCGTCCCTTTCACTTCATTACAAGAAAAAGGAAAAAGAAAATTATGGTTTATTCGTACTTCGATATTTAAGCTACATAGTAGACCCCCACAAAATGGCTGAACGAGTGCACGTTCGGAAACTCGTCAATTCATCTAAAAGATAAATTATGTGAGAAATACAAATACGATTTTATACTATGATAATTTAGTTTTTACAATTTTCATTAAAAATAAAGCAAGTGTTGCAATAAAAATATGCTAAATTTATAACGTCAATTAAAGATAACAATATTTACAATGTGTGATTTCAATGAATACAAGCGAGAACGTTCCGGAACGCAATAAATAAAAGCGCGCTTTCTTTTTTTTTTAATTCAAAATTTCTTATTTGCTTGCGATAGGTACTTCTTTGATAGTTAATTGGATATCTACCTACGTAATAAAATAGAAAATATGAGCGATTCCAGTGAAGACGACAATTTTTTAACTCCTCCAGAGTTAGTTGAAACTGTTAAAAATGCTGAACTAAGTTTCTTGCCTAGTAAATCTCGTGAAAAGTACCTGAAAGTCTACGAACATTTTGACAAATGGAGGCACGAAAAGGGCGCAGGAAACACTATGTCGGAAACTGTGCTTCTGTCTTATTTCATTGAAATGTCGCATACAAAACAGCCGTCAACGATGTGGAGTATATATTCGATGTTGAAAGCTACATTACAAACTAAAAATAACGTCCATATAAACACTTACGCAAAGCTGATTGCGTTTTTGAAAAGATCGGCCGTCGGCCACAAATCAAAAAAATCGAAAGTTTTCACGGCTGCTAATATTGAAAAATTTCTTAATGAAGCTCCAGATTGCACTTTCCTAGCCGCAAAAGTAAGTATTGAATATTATTACTGTTGTCGTAGCGTTATATTTTAATTGTTAATACAATTTGGACTTTGGTAGTTATGTTATCAATTTCTATCAACATAATTATACTTACCTACTTAAATGTGTTGTTTTGGCGACTTGTATTGGAACTTTATGGTTAAAAATAACGCTACATATTATGAGAAATCCACGTTTAAGACTGCTCTAAAAGACACAATACTTATTGACGTTTTATTTATGTTTCAGGTCATCCTTATCATTGGAATAAACGGAGCATGCCGCTCCAACGAGTTATTGAATCTAACTCCTAATGCCATTGAACAACATTCCAGCGACCTTCTTTTGATTAACCTGCCAAATACGAAAACAAATATAGACAGGTCGTTCGTCGTCCGTGAGGAATACGCACACGTTGTCCAGAAATATAAAGCATTGCGCCCTCCCAATACGATCACAGACCGCTTTTTCATACAATATCGTAATGGAAAATGTACGCGGCAACCGATGGGTATTAATAAAATAGGAGCGACTGCACGAGAAATCGCAACATTTTTAGATTTGAAAGAGCCGCAGCTATACACTGGCCACTGCTTCAGGCGAACATCAGCCACTCTTTTGGCGGATGGAGGAGCTGACCTCACAACGTTGAAGCGCCATGGCGGTTGGAGATCAAATACAGTGGCTGAAGGATCTATCGAAGATTCAATAGAAAATAAATCAAAAATCTGTAAGCGTATTATAGATTCGATAAACCTAAAACAGACTTCGCATTCTTGGGCACAACCTAGCACCTCCAGTGATGCGAATCATACCCAAACCCGCCCAGAATCACCAACTTTTACGGTGCGGGAAGGGTCACAATCCAGCTCAACTCATAATGAAACCTCGACCACTACTCAAGTAGCAAACACTACGACGATTACTGTTCCAAATAAAACAGTAACTTTTAATCTACAGAATTGTACAAACTTCACGTTCCACTTTTAATTTTTTGTAAATTCTGTATTTTTGTAAATATACAATGATGCATTTGCTTTCATGACGTGTTTTTATTACTTGTCCCTTTAGTATATATATATGTTCTCGCTGCTGAGGTGAAAAGTTGTATGTATCACGCGAGAGCAAAGTTATTTTGCAGCTCGTATTTTTGAGTCCCTCGCTTCGCTCAAGATTCTAATTCTGAATCACTCGCTACGCTCGTGATTCAACTATAGAATCTTTCGCTTGCTCAGGACTCAAAAACAGCACTCGCACCAAAAAACGACTTTGCTCTCTTGTTGAACAAATAACTATTGTTTAAATCGACTGCGTTGTATTCAGACAGGCAGTAGTTATACTACTTTATTTTATACTCATTATTATTGCTTACTTTAGTGACGATCATATTATCCATCGATATTGTATTTCTAATTGTAATATTGTGACAGTGATAATATGAAATAAATGATACTATTTTTTTTTTAAATAATAAAGATGGCGGCGATGGGACCGACTATAGTAAGCGTTGGTCTAAAAAATACCTATTCGCTCTAGCCTTGAATAGCCCCAAATTGTACTTTTTCGTAAACACAGATAGAGTAGTCCATTCCTTTGCCGTACATATCAGAAAGGCGAAGTGCTTAGTGCGAATGGGTGGTATATCAAAGAAATAGAATAATTTTATGAATAAAAATGTAATATAATTTTATTCTAAATTGGGTATTGTTGTTTTAAATGTTTAGGTTACAGATCACACAAAAGTTATTCTTTTAAGTTTTGTCAAATAGGCACCTCTCACGCTCCAGCTGAAAATCAGCGTTGTTTTTTAATTGTTTATTCTTTAATTTAAATTTAGATAATTTTTTTTTCTTTTCTTTCTTTCTAAATGTTTATTGAAAATGAATGTGATTACCAAATCTTTAATAAAATATTGTTATAAAGACAGATAAGGAAGCTGGTGTCAAATTTCAAAATAATAATCTCATATCATTGTATAATCGATAAGAATTTTCGACAACACTATAACAGACTAAATATAAATTTTATGGGCACAAGTTATTCTAAGAAAAACTTTTATTGTTACCCTACAATGATGCTATATAATAGGAGTTACAGTACAAAATTGCCTGTCACCATCATTATTATCATCCATAACCCAACTTCACCTGCTGCTGGGTATAACCCTCACGTAGTTCTTTCTTTTTCTATACGTGACGGGACACTTCACATGATGTTAAATGGAAACTGGAATTCAAACGTGAAGTAACCTAAAAACTAAAAACTAGAGTTTTACCAGCACAGTTATGTAATTAGAGGCTTTTTGTGAAAAATGCCACATGAGTGGTTCCAGTATGGGACGGTACTTCAAATACTAAATTTTTGGAACTAGAGAAGGTTCAGAGAGCGTTGTCAAAAGTGATGTACCTTGAACCGTATAAATTTCCCACATCAGAACTTTACCGATTTAGCAACGTTCTTTCGGTAAGGAAATTATACATATTGCACATGGTCGGTAAGTTGACCAAAAAGTTATAAATAAAAGAAGAAACTATATAATAGTTCCTACCCAACAAACAAATACGACTTTTGCAAGAAAATAGTACTCTAAACAATCTACCTATCACTACATTAAAGTTAATAAAATATTGCAAATTTATCCAATTAATTAATACGACTGTAAAAACTCTGAAATAAAACGGCTACAACTATTAAACAATAACGAAACTGAATCATTTTTAATGTTCCTGTATTATCTTTTAAATTACACACATACACACACACGCATGCACACACACACTCACTCGCACGCACGCACGCACGGACGCACGCACGCACGCATATATATATACTTTTTTTTTTTAAACAGACAGATAATATATGTAGCTTGTTGGTTACATACTGATTTGCTTCACATTGTTAGGTAGGCACACGGACAATACATTATTGTCTTCGCGTATAACAAATATTGTTGAATTCTTTTAACAACCGAGTTTACACATACTTCATACGATGTTCATTCACATCCTGTCGTTCGAAAAATTATTTATATTGCCTCTTTACAGTACGCATTGGATATTGAAACAGATAAGCTGAACTGTTATGTTAAATATTAATTTACTGTGTTTTAAGTTTAAAGATTTTAGTTTTAATTAAATTGGACAATATTTTTTTTATTACAATAGAAAGAAAATGTGTTGAAAATGTAGAAAAGAAACATTCTTACGTAAAATAAACAAAGCATTCAATTGCATAAATTAATTAAAAAGGTAAACATTAAAGATTACAATGAGAAAATCTGCAAGAATACTTTCAATATACGTCCTAATTTACACTGTTCAAGCCGAAAAGTTCTGCAATATTCACTCTGATTATATCACGGGACAATGTTATAAGAAGGAAATCCTTGCGAGCATACCTCACAGCCCGAATCAATTAGCTGTCGACAGAACCAGCAACGTTCTATACTTCAGTTTCGACTCAGGAATGGGAGAATACGTACCAGGAAAACTTAAAATTGGTAATAATACTTTGTTTGTTCTTAAAGGGATCAGAGACGCATTTGCAATTGCAAGTGACTTTGCTACCGGAGATCTGTACTTTGGCGGTAGTCATGGAATATACAAATACAATCCAGGATTAAGATCTTTGAAGCGACTTGCAGTACAGAATTTAGACATATGGTGGTTGGTGATACGGAGGAAGATATACTTTATTAAATTTCCAAGTTTATCCGCTTTTAAATACGAGAATAGAAGCATAAGGTATGTTGAACAATTGAGAAATCATACGGTTCATCAATTTGTTTTCGATAACGAAGATAATATATATTTTATTAACAACACTGGGTTGTTTGGAATTAACAGCGGATCCATGGAAGCTCATTTGTTGAAAGATCATCCGAAGTTCATCGGTATGGCTAGAGACAACTATGGGTATGTCTACTTGTGTTCAGAAGATGGTATCTTCGTCATACGCAAGATGCACAAGATAAAAAGAGTCATAGGCATTCAAGGAGTGTTAGGACTGACCTTTGATCGGAACAACAATATTATTTATTCTGATTCATCCGAAATTGTTCGCTTAGTCGCTAAAGAGAAGATTAAAATTGCTTACAATTATGATGAAATATAGGTTTTTGGAGTATGTTGTTAGTTTTTCAATTTTGAAATAACTTGTTTCATAAGGTGAAGTAAGACCTGAAATAGACGCTTTGAATAGTTGTTCCTTGCTATATTTCAAAAGAGAAAAGAGTGTAATTATAATGGCTTCAACGGTATACAACAAACTGTCGAATGCAATCAGAAATTGTAATTATCCGCTCACGCGATACATGCAGCCGTAGACGCATACCACACCTAGAGGTGCCGATGATGATGATTTTATACCGATTTATCGGATATCGAAGTTATAACAGGTAAAAGAACTAATATTAATTGCTATTTCGGTAACTACTCTAGCAAACCATAAAGTTTTTAATGCCTGGGTCTGTCATTTAAAAAAATAAACAACTTCAAACATACGTTACGACAATCGTGTGTGTTATTGTTTGGGCTGGTGATTTCGGTGTTTATTTATTGAAAACATACCGTAATTAGCGTTTTTTAAGTTTACCCTGAATATAAATGTTTATAAACTATACTTTAAGGAGTAATTTCATGGTAAACGTTAGAACCACTCATACGGAATATTATCATATTTATCCAAGTACACCAAAAATTTCATTAGTGCTTTATAAGTGCATGATTTGCGGTGTATTACTGCATTTTATTTGAGATGTTTTTGTTGGTAGTACGGAGGGTATTTATTTAGCAATACAGAATAATAATTTTTATTTATAAAAACTTGTATTTAAACTGAATGCTTTTCTAATTTGCGAAACCAAATAGCCGCCATTTTGCGGTAGGAGAAGCGCATCGCGTGAGCGGTTATTGTGAACATTGCACAGAATAAGATTGATTGTCCTGATCTCCTTAGTAATATTATACTCAAAGTTCCAGTTAAGAAGTTTCGTGAGTATAATTTCGACTCATCCGAAGAACAGAGTCCGACGTGATTATATAGCGAAAAGAGGATAAGTACGTTACGAAAATAATTTTGTTATTCAAACTAAGGCCTATAAAAAGGTGTTTTGAGATTTTATATATTATCTTATTTCGTTTTGGAAATATAAAGTCGACCAACTGTCTATCTAACGTCCACAGCGAAGAAGAACGAACGAAATGTACTATAGTCCTGAGAACAAGTAGTCTTGCATATAGATCTTTGTTCTATGGATGAGTCGATTTGCTCTATGTTCCATTTAGTCGTACTAATTTTAGAATGAATAGCTATCTACCAAGATCATTAACAGCATTTAACCAACTCAATGACGACTATAAAATAGCGTTACGAATATAAAAACTGTTATGACTAATAACTTTTCAAGTGCCTGATAAACCGATTGTTGTGTTCACTTAGAAGTGATAATTAGATATTTATGGTAGTGTTATTTTTTAATTCATATGTGGAAGCTTTTAATTGGCATCTGGTTATTTATATTTAAATCCATGTTGTAAAAGTAGCTCCCCTAAGATAATAAAATAAAATAGAATAGAATTTAAGAAATATTTTATTTCATTTCGAATTCATAGGTTTTTGCGATTGCTACGTCCTGGAAATTAAAATTAAAATTAAAAAAAAGCTTGTCGTACCTATTATGTAACAATAGTTCAGGGTCTTGCCTTTTTGTAGCCAGTGTTCAACTTCTGCTAATTATATTGAAACCACTGTAATCCATTCCATTCAATGAGATTCTACTGAGATCATGTTGCTTTTATGATAATATTTGTTATTCTGCTAAAATCAAGGGTAACCTACCACAAACTCTAGTTTACTTTTTCCGAAATAACGTTTGTTAGAATTTTCATTACCCCGAAAACCGAATAATATCGAAACCGTTGTTCTTTCTGGATATGTTGGATGTTTATCACAAAGACAAAAGAAAATCTCAAAATTACTTTCGAGGTCAAGAAAATTCGAGCAAACGTTGTTTCTGGAAAATGTCATTTCCGACTTCTGATAGGTAACCAAAATCTAGTTTCAATAGACTGGCAGTGGAATTGCAGTGGTGGCCATCATTCAATCACTAACGGTCGATGTTGCCTTACTAAAACTACCATGGGAATTACTATGTATGTCTTATCTCGTTTAATTAACAATAAAACACCAGTATTTGTTCAATAGTAAATCAAAGGCAGTTCGATGGCAAGAAGCCATCGAGACGCCATCGAAAGAAAGGTCAAATAATTAGTAAACTACGCCGTCGCCATTGAATAGCAGAATAACCATGGACAAACCACTATCTTAAGTTTCAGTACAACCAAACGCACAAAAGCCGGCCATAAAAATGGAACTAAATTAATTTGCAGCCCTGCGAAGGTAAGTGATAAACTGTCACAATTTTAAAATACAATGTCAAGGGATAATATAAGCCTTAGTAATTATGAATTTAAAACAAAGTAGTATAACAAAAAACGATAATAAACAAAAAAAATTTGTCGAAAAATAACATTACAATTTCGTCAAAAGAAAATCCTCTAAATCGCAAATTTCTTTATCCAATAAAAGGAGTTTGCAGATGGCTGTACTTCCCTGGACGAACTCTTTCACAAAAAACTCTACTGCTATTAATAGTGTATTTCCATAAGGTGGCAACGATGGTCCACATGACTGCAATATTGTGAAAACAAATTAGCGTGATTAGTGATGTATGAAACCAATAATCGCTTTGGCTAAGCAAACAAGTTCAACGGTCAATGAAACGCCAAACGCCAGTAACCGGAATATGTATTGACTATCAGTCAGTTGCAGGTTTCATTTATTTGCATCAAACATTTACTTAATATGTTCCTGCAGATAATAAATCGAACCACGGCCGTGCCCCAACTCGCTGTTCTCTATCCTATCTCTGATATTTGAATATGTCGAAAATATTCTTCGTTACAATCGGGCTACTTTCCCGATCAATCCACTTGTCCAAATGGTCCACTTTCCGATTCGTCTACTTTCCCAAACCATGCACTTTCACTATTTGTGCACTTTCCCGATCGGTCCACTTTTTTCTCCCGATTGGTCAACTTGAAAAACAAAGCCTTTACGCGGCACTGCACATCACAGCAGGGTCTTAATTCTACTAATTTTCTTGCCACTAGTCATTGTAATTCAACTGAGGCTCCATTGCGAGTTATGATAATATTGTTATTCTGCTAAAATGTAGTTGCAATGATTTTTTGCAGTTAAGTTTCAATAGAGTGTTTTTTATAATACCAGGTGACGGGTCGAACAAATCGTATGCCTGGTGGCAAGCGACACGCCTATCCATAACAGTTGCAGTCTCACTCAGAGCTTTCGCAAAGATATTAGGGGCACTGCCACTGCACCCTTCACCGCGATACATAAGTCGATAAGTCCCATGTGCCTGTAATTTAACAAGCACCCTTACCCTTCCAAACCGGAACGCAGCAATAGGCAATATGGCAGTACTTCCCTGGACGAACTCTTTCACAAGGAGCTCTACTGCTACTAACAGTATTAGTAGAATGGCAGTGATGATATTCACATTCAATCACTGAGGATGTTGCCTTACTAAAACTATCATTAATATACCCGCTCACGCGATGCGCTCATCCTACCGCAAAATGGCGGCTATTTGGTTTCGCAAATTAGAAAAGGATTCAGTTTAAATACAAGTTTTTAAAAATAAATAAATACCCTCCGTACTACAACAAAAACATCTCAAATAAAATGCAGTAATACACCGCAAATCCTGCACTTAAAAAGCACTTATGACATTTTTGGTGTACTTGGGTAAATATGATATTATTCCGTTTGAGTGGTTCTAACGTTTACCATGAAATTACTCCTTAAAGTATAGTTTATAAACATTTATATTCAGGGTAAACTTAAAAAACGCAACTTACGGTATGTTTTCAATAAATAAACACCGACATCACCTGCCCAAACAATAACACACACGATTGTCGTGACGTATTTTTGAAGTTGTTTATTTTTTTAAAATGACAGACCCAGACATTAAAAACTTTATGGTTTGCTAGAGTAGTTAACGAAATAGCAATTAGTATTAGTTCTTTTACCTGTTATAACTTCGATATCCGATAAATCGGTATAAAATCATCACCGGCACCTCTAGGTGTGGTATGCTTCCAGAGACGCATGAATCGCGTGAGCGGATATTCATATCTTAATTTTTATCCCTTTTCAATAGCAAATTAATTTTCAAATTAAATGTACTTTCTTCACGTCACGTAATTAGTAGATTACACCATCGACATGTTATCGACTCGCCGTTGAATAGCAGAGTACCAAAAAATTGCAAATGGCAGTTGATGAGCTCGATTCTTTGGCTGCCTTTCCACTAGAGATGTGCGAGAATGCGTTACGGACTCTTTTCAGCTACGCGCGGGCGGGGTGCGGTGTGGTGGGGGTGAGCGGTGGCAATGTGTCAGTGTCAGTTAGTGTCATACTTTCAGCAGGTTTAGTTTCCTACACCGTTTTGCACACATTCCTCGCCCGCATCCCTCGCACTAATTTCTCGTACACATCTCTCGCTATTTTGAATATACAAATACTTAGCTCCGCTAAACCTTTTCCACTGGAGCCGCGCTAAGCGCGGCTAGGAAATTTAAATAAAAATTGGTAGATATTTCCTCGTACACCGCCTCGCTACGTCGCACATCTCTGGTGGAAAGGCAGCCTAAGTGTCTGGCAAACCTCTATTCTTAACTTTTAGCAGAATACCAAACGTACAAAATCCTGCCATTGAAGCTCTATATATACACATCTGAGAAGATTTAAAATTAGCCGAATTAGGACCCAGATGTATTTATATAACCGAAATATCTAGCACGAAATAACGACAAGTATACATACATACATATACAACACATACAACAGTCTTCCACTTGCTACGGTTCTGTCACACATCTTTCGCCTCATCAACACGCATCAATGCTTTCATACACGCTCGTCGGTTAAGAGTACTCTTGACCTGGCCCTTCTTTAGGATGGCCTCAATTTGGTAATGGTAAGTTCGCTTTGATCGGCCCATACCAACTTGCCCGCTCACACTCGCC